CTCAGTGACGGTTGTATTTCGTAAATAATATCAGATTATTGTACATAAGTTTATATATCTTATCAGAATAAATTTATTTCCACATATTTTCATTGTTCTCATTGTCTTGGTTGGGGCACGAACGTTAAGAAAAATTCTATATATGAAGGTCTGTTTCGCTCAAGTAATTTTGCCGACCACTACGTGGTGTTTGACGCTTCGTGTATAGTTACACTGGTAGGTGTTTGCTTAGCTTAATAAGTCTTAGTGTTAGAAGTCATACAATGTGTACCGCCTTTATCCACATCTTATTCTTGCTGTACTCGTCGTTCTGGGTCATGTACACCTAGATACTCACGAGACTTACAGTCGGAACAGAATGTCGCATTGACATTTAGTATGATGTTGCTTTCACAAAGATGGACTGACCCAACGTTTGAATGCAACTCATACGACTTTAGCATGATACGCAAATGTCTTTGGCAATCGGGTGCTTTGTTTGCAATGTGGGTTTATTGTTCAGAATTAAGGATTAGTTTTATTCCTAACATGTCATGTTTTTTCTTGAGGGATAACTGGTGTAGTACAGCAAGTTATTTCGATAGTCGATTGCACTGACTGTCTTCAGCAACGTAAGAGTTGAAGTTAACTCAGTATGGAGCAACTCGTTATTTGTATTTTCAGAGGAATACAAGTCGATAAGGTCTTGTTTCAGTGCTAAATACTTCTTTCAGTGACTTATCCCTCAAATCTGTCTAATTTGTAATGCAAAATGGAAGAAGAAGAATCGAAGTGAGTGTAACGTAGAAATGAGGACTGGAAAATATGTTATCCCGACAAATGTTCGCAATAAAATGAGTTTTATAAAAACAGAAGTACTTAGTAGTCTGTTTGCATTTATTGAATTGGACTCAACCCAATGTTAAACAGACTTGCAATCTGTTGGATTTAGCAGTAAATTATGAGTTATGTAGCGAACAGGAGTTACTCGTTGTAAGCAACGCCACCAAGGCGCGCAGACAGACCTCTTTGCTCTTAGGAATCAAGCTCTGGCAGCGCGGGTAAACATAGTGTAAGCTCTTGGTGCCGTTAATTTATTGTCCCCCAGATTGTGGTATGCATTAGAGAGACAATGTGGCAGACTGGTGTTTTGCGAACGGTATATGTATCGCCCTTATAGCGCTTGTTTTATGAGTTTTCTTCCCTCAGTCCTTCCAGACGTGGACTGCCATATTTGGGGAGGGGTATTTGAGCGTTTTTTCGGTGTCAAATGAGCTGACGCATCGCACCAGTCGAGTGTTTTGTCGTGGCTGGGCCTCCGGGCTCGACGTCCATAACCTTTGCAGTAGTTAACAAAGCTTGTGCAACATCACTTCAATACAGTCAAGAGCATGTTGTTTTGTTACAAACCTATTATAATAGACTGCATTAGCTCCTAATCTGTATGACAATATTGTTGGTGTAATAATTACAGTTGCTATCGAGTTGGATATTTCTAGCTGCTTGAATAATAACACTCAAAATCACATTGGATGATTATCGTTTGCCTCTTGTCGCGTTAGGGTGTTACTGGATTCTCCGAACTGCTGTAAACTTAGTACTCCTAGCTAATTTGTAAGCCAACCATTCTAAAGCAGCTTTCACATCCTTTAGGAGGGTTGACGAGGCTGAAATCTGCTCCTGTGGGTATAAAAATGTTTTGCTACGCGGCACTGTAAGTCAATTTGTATTGGTAAACAGTTCGATGTCGTTCACAACATTTGGGTAAAGCACTTGAGCCATATACGTTCCACCGTCCGGCTAATTTAACAGCTGTCGAAACATTGTTTTGTACTGGCTATGCGTCAGGGCCTGTCCAAGATGGTGTGATCACTTGAATCACTAGCTTATATGTTTATGAAATCTTATCTATTACTACTATTGAAGTAACTACTATTTATTTGGTGTTCATCTTGTGCTAATGAGTTATGGCAACTTGGACTGACGCATACATGTGTCTGGTCGTACGCCGTAGCTGACTGACTGATCACGAGGCGGTCGTCTGGTTTGCTGTGAGGGGCTGGCGAAACGTCACTGAATCCTAAGAAAAAAACATGTAGCAGACAGTTCAGCGAAAATCTCGCAAATTGCCGTTTCTAGTCAAGGTTAAAGACAATCAATGATCATCGATCAATCGCTTGGCGTGGACAAGTGCTTTGATGGCTTTTGAGTCGAGGTTTTGATGTGAAGTTTTATAACAGCAGGGTGGACATCACTAAGTTTCATAGTAGCTTCTAGCTGTTCGTTAGCTGAAACCCTTGCTGAACTGGTTATGCTTGCCGTATCTTAGTGTAGCCATCGCATAGTTTGAGGTTTCCTAAACAAGGACATTTCATTCTTACTCGTCAGTGTGTCACTGAAAGTTCGTTACAGTACATGTGGCAGTGGTTGTGTTCTGTTTCTCTTAACAAGTATTGCTGAAACACTTCTGTAATAATGTTGTTTCTCTATGGTTATCAAAGTAGCCACTACGTAGATACGATTCTAGCGTCAAATAAATCTACTTCATAAACCGATTTCTAAGTCCTCGACGTTGATGTTGGCCTAATTAATTTTATTAGACACTAACTGAGAGCACTCAGTCACGCATCCCCATCGGATCACGACTGACTACGCCGTATTACATATCTGCAGCTATTAGTCAGCTTAGATCAAACACTTCCAAATTTACCTTTGAACCCCTTCATCTTTCACTTCTGATTTGAATTTGTTTATATCCTTCGATTATGAAGTTGTTACAGATAAATGTAACATCAAACCCTGAATATTCGTAACATCTTGTAATCCAAGTATCAAGAAAAAAAAGTAAAGAATCTACGTGAGAAAAAATAACACAAATTGAAAGCTTTATTTTGAACAATAGTTAACAGCATATTAAACAAGAGGAAAACATTCCGTTAGAAACAAAGTTTTCCATAATAAAGAAAATGAGGAGAAAAATTGTCAATGAGAATTAAAAATAGAACTTGAAAACAATCAATGAGCGAAAATTATACACGTGCGGTTTGTGTTACTTATATCGACATAGGTAGTAAATAATGCTAATCAATTGCAGTCCTAAATAACCATAGGAAGATACAAGTAAAATAACACCAAGTGAATCTATATAAATTATGTTACTTTTTGATTAATAACATTACTTCAGATATTCTAACTATCATACATTTCAATGATTAAGATCATGAGTCAGTTGAAGCTAGACCATCATGGAAAACCTGGAAGCACTGGATGGCCGTTTCGTCCTATTATGGGACTCCTCAACAATGCGCATCCACGACCTCGCCCCCTGCGAGATTCGAACCCATGACTTACTGGTTTCGCGCACGAGCACTTAACCACTAGACTACATTTGTTTATAAATAATTACTAAAACAAATAATAAACATTAAGTGAGCATAATATATTGTTTCTCTCAAAAATCAATAAAAATATAGAATAAACAAGGGAATATAAATTTTATTAACAAAATATAAAAATAAACAACTACATTATCATCGATCAATATGAGATATAAAACATCATTGTTTATTCGAAACTTTTATTGAAAATGTATTAAAATAAAAAAAAAAAACAAAATTCAATCTAAATGATAATTATTTAAAAATTAGCTGTTACTTTTCTGTTCAATATTCAATATTGAGTTAAAAAAGAAAACTAATATAGAATATATAGATAATATTAATGTTAAATTTACATACTGAGTATTCGAATGATCACATTCTGTATTAACTATGAGCATTTTGATATTAGAGAAAACTTATTTAAATTCAATTGTAATTTTAAATATACTACTATACATTTTGTTCTTTTAGCCATCAGAATCATATGTTATCTAAAAAAATAAACAAACAAACAAGGAAACATAGTTACACTAAAATAAAGACAATAATTCTTATTATTATCAAAAGGGGTTTTGTGGATATTTTAGTGATTTCAGTAGTTGAAATCATGAATCAATTGAAGTTAGATCACCATGGAAAACATGGGGGCACTGGACAACCGTTTCGTCCCAGTATGGAACTCCTCATCAGTGCTCAATTTCGTGTATTGGTTGAATTTAAACATTATCACCGTTATATGCCTGCTCAATGGTCTAATGGTTAAGCGCTCGAGCGCGACTCCGATAGGTTGTAGGTTCGTATCTGACGGGGGATGGGGTCGTGGTTGCCCACTGTTGGAGATTCCCATACGGCCGTCCAGTGCTTTCAGGTTTTCCATGGTGGTTTAGTTTCAATTAGCTTATGATTTCAACGATTGAAATTTCTATTATTTTTTATTTTGTAGTAATGCTCATTGATAAATAACAAATAATGTAAAGATCTAAAGTTTAATTTCATCAGTTAGTATTGAATAAATATTCTAAAAGTGTCTTTCTTGACCAGGTAATCCAATAACAGAGAACACAAAAGACTTGATATGATATGCTACTTGAAGAGGAATGAAGTTGAATCGCAAATCTTTTGCATCACTATTCCTTTACGGTAATCTAAATTTTTGTCTCCTCGCAACAGAAATAGATCATTATAATCAAAGTTTTAACTCTGATCATGACGTTTCAATGATTGAATTAAATTAAATTGTGTTTCTATAGAAAAAAAAACAACAACCGGAAATTGTACTGATTTGTCATCATATTTTCTACTACTCTTGGTCAATATTCCTTACACAAAGCCATTGACAACATATAAGTATTCTGAAAATCAAATGGTCTAACTACGTAATGATATAGATATAATATTTAGGCTAACATTACGGATTACACTTGTATCAGTAGGCAGTTGATTCACTTAGCAATTATTTGTGGTTACGTGAAAAAAAAAACAAACAGATCTACAAAGTTCAGTTGTCTAATTTCAACATAAAAAAAAAATAGATAATATTATTCTATTGTGTAAATAAGCGCTACAGAATATATAAAGGTTATCAGAATTGAAATCAACTATTCATTGTTCACATGTGATCTTCGTATTTTTTTTTTTTTTTGTAAATATTGTGTATTGTTTACACATCATAATAACTGTAACTTAGTGTTAACATAAATGTTCAAACAATAATGTAAATGAAATCGTATATTGTATATGTACCTTCAATAATCTTAGCCGAATTAATAACAATCTAATAAAATAAATACAACATATAATGAATATAATTGAAAGTGATATTACAAAAAATAAGAAACAATAGAAATCGGAATTTTGTTTCCCTTCAAAATAATTGATTAGATTTGAAGAAGAAATCTGAAATGAGAAAAAAAAAAACAAAAACAAACAAAAAATAATCAGCATGAAAAGTGTATTGTTGATAAGGAATAAAACAAAAATTTTACAATTCTGTAAATGTATGTAAACTGTCAGAACTCGGTAAAATATAAGAGAGATTATACATTCATATGGTGATCATCAAATAATCATTCATTATATTGATTACAAGTACATCAACAATACATATGAATTCAACTATGGAGTATCGGAAACAAAGTGTCCAATTGAAAACTACTTACATTATCCTGATTCGTACTTTGTACAGTAGATCCTCGTATCCCTTTTGATGTTGAATTTCGCCTACATTGATTCGGAGAATTTTTCTGAAAAATGAAACAATGATTGCAATATGAAATGTTAAATGTGTACAATCAATTATTTGTTCATTCAACATTGCTGTGAGTATCAGTAAACGAATAGAATCCAGTAAAATGTAATGAAGATTACACATTGACGTGGTGATCACCAAACAATCATTCATTACATTGACTACAAGTTGCTTGTTGAGTATATCAACAATGCACATGAACTCAACTACCTTAAAAGTCTCATATTGAACAGAACATTCATTCCACTGTTTGCCAACATCTAGATATGCGGAATACGAGTAAGTGAAGTGATGATCAATTCCTAGTATGTATATGTGCCAACACAGACTGATTAGATGCAGTCGTGAAAATCTTCATCGGGAAATTACAGGACCTCACCGATTTCACAAACACGCTATACAATTTCCCGAGCCTCCACATTTTCCACTAAAAGCATGACATTTCTACACTTTCCAAAACTCATCACTGTTCACAATACTCCATGTATGTGATGTACACATGTGAGTGCCAAGGTATCCACATCGATTGCGAATGGCTGCACAATCAATCAAATGATCAACTCAGATATTTCGGATCATGAAAGTCATGTTTCACTGCTTGCTGTTAATTGTTCAGTGTTCTCATAGATGAGATTACACTTGTATTTGATTAGATAATCACAATCAATACAACACTTTCATTTCATCGCTTCCAAATAAACACCTATCAACAAATACAAGTGGCAATAAATATTTCATCGAATATGAAAATTAGCAGTCTGAAACAATTGAGTATTGGAAACAATTATCGCATTTCTATCATTACAATGATTTATCGGAAAGTTGATTGATTATTGAAAAAGAGACATGCAATCGTTTCAATATTGTCAATCAACCTTAATCCGAATTAATTAACTATGAACATTTACATGGATATAATGATTCTATGTCTTATTCATCAATATTTACATCTCAATTATTAACAATAACACTAACTGATCAACAAGACCATATGACAAAGTCTAATAATAACAGTAATCAAATAAAATACAAGTATAAAACTACTAATTTTCTATCCGATTTATAGGTATCACAATAGATCTCAGTTCTAGCATTATCTTATGTTCAAAGTTAATCAGATGCTTTCATATAAAATTTACGGTTTTCCTATATTTCTAAAAAAAAAAAAATCTGTTCTAAAATTTGTGTTTTTACTAGTTCTTAACAAAAGTATTAAAAATTATGGCATAACACTATGCATATTCTTTTTTCATACCCTACTAAAACATAATAAGTGGCCTTGTGGTTTAGGCGTTCCACTTTCAACCACAAGATTTTAGGTTAGAATTCCACTCCATTTTCGGTTTAGGCAACCAGATAGTTTCAATTGATCATACATACTTAAACGCTGAATGGATGACTTAATTGAAAAAAAAAATTAACTAACTATTTATTTCGATAATGTAATAAGAAAACGGAGATTATCAGAACTATGTGATATATTAGCACAATTGTGTCACATCCCACTATGTTTACCAATTTAAATGTGTGTATGGTCAAACATATAGAGGGAGGAGCAATCGTGATCTCAACATTAGGGTTAGTGAACATGTACCCAAATGGCTGAAGAAACAAATACAATCAAGTCACTCAATAAGAGCAGATGATAAACATCCATCATCCTCTATTGCTAAACATATAGTCGAAACAGGCCGTAAGATTGATCTAAATTCGGCTTTTGTGGTATTGTATAAAAGTGTGAAAGGTTTATTTAAGCCTTAGCCATACGAAAATTCAAACCCCCTTTGTGTATTCAAAAACAGTTTGTTCTTACCTTAAACCTACCCTGGCAATATTGACTTATTATCCAGAATGATTAGGTTTCAAATTTTGTTCTCATTGTTATTATTACTCTTATTATCATCCTAATCTCCTCTTACCCCCATTTCCAGTCTAGTTGACCTTTTATTTTTATAATATAAATGGTCGTTAACGCGTATATGTGTGATCAAATTGTTCGAAATGTATTGCGCTAATATATCACATAATTCTGATCAACTTCGTCTTCTTATTACATTATAGACAGACACCAGTCTGTACAATGATTGTTTTCTACTTAATTAGTTGTGTTTCATCCTGTCTAATCGATGTATTATTATTTATCAAGCTAGTCGAATCAAAGTAACCGGTATAAAGCGATATGAACCGTATATTAAATCACTGATTGCCAGAGTCTAATAATTTAACCACCTCTATGTCAATTTCCATAGTAAACTTCAATACTATATTTTCATATTATTTGCTTCTTAACCACATCTTTGTGTATGCTAAGTATAAATAATGCCCGTAGTAAACACATCGTCGTCTGATTATGATCACTGTGACTTTCTCTTTCCCATGTTGTTATGTTATAGTATGTTATAATAACAGTTCGTATTATTAAGATAATGAACTAATGATGCTCTTTAAATTAGTCCAGTGTCTGTGCCTCATCTTTTGTTCAACGGTGCTTCAATCACTATTTATACCTGGAATATTGTAAACATTACTATCTGTCGTTCAACACATACAAATAAATTAACGTTATTAGACTAGATTATTAAAAATTAGTATCATTCAAGTGTACCTGATTGAAAAAGTAAACCAACGTTGTACAACTGCACCCCCTAAAACTTATTTGGTTACAGGTGGTTAAGCACGGCACTTTTTACAATTATTTATCTTGAATAATTTGTTTCTATCAACAAAATCGCAGTCTTATCTATTCCACACATTCCTATTGTTATGTTTGAAGAGGTTACGAAATCATCTAAAATCAGCGAACGGAACGACGGATCAGTGACACAACTCAAGTGTATATATATATATATATACAGTATAATAATGTCCTTGGATAATGTCACAAAATAGCACATTAAAAGAGTGAGAGAACCAATGGTATTTATAATCTTTTCAAATGGGAAATACAATCTGAAGATAAAAATGGGAGCTTTTGTCGCGAAAATAAGAAATTCGAATTTTCAAAATTAAATTACAAAAATAAGATGTTTATCAGGTGCTTTCTGGGGATCTAACATCCTGAACACGTTTCTTAACAGCGTACTTTCTTGGGGTCCATCTCCATCTTGACTGTTTGTCACCGAAGTGACCAATTTTTTGAAGGGAGATCGATTTGTTGTTGTACTTTTTCACGCGTAAGGACTGTAGGAAGGTTGAACGCATCTAATAGATTTTCAAGTGGAAGATTTCCTTCTGCTGATGGGCGATCTGTGGCTAGCCGTTTCCGTAGCTCGACCGTAGCTACTACCTTGACGTGGTGATCGGGCTTGTCTATCGTCATGACCCAACAGAGCTATATTGGCTGGAACATATGTTCTGTAGGTTCTACCATGCCAGACAGGTTGATTGGAGAACGGTAAGACTAAAAGCAGCAACTCAAGGTATGAGGGCGAAGTCGTACTGCTAACTGTAGAGGGGTGTGACAGCAGTAATGTGCTTCCCTCGGACAACCAGCATCTGCAGCGATGCTGCCTTCTCACAAGGAAGGAAGGGGTTAGAAAAGGTTGACCCTAAAAATGTCACACCTCACCTTACCTCATGGATTTCCATCTCTGGCGGTAAGGCCCTTTGAAGAACGGAGCCAACACATTAAAAACCTCCCACAAAAAGGCTGTGCGTGACCGGCCTCAAGCAGTTGTCCCTTGGGCTCTGCGGTCACGCACCCAGATCGTTAAGACCAACACTAATCCGATTTCCTTTTCAGGTCCCTCAAGAAATACCCTTCCACGGTGTGGGCAACCGGGAAGTGACATCAGCCCTCATACCCGTAACAGCACACGAGGCCAAGTCGGTCACATTCAAATCCCTTCTACACCTCCAAACAAATCTCTTATCTCCACGACTAACCCTTCTCACGTCCCTTTATCACCTCGCCCCGCTAGTGCGAACGATCCGAGTACGCGGAATGTTATTCCTGGTCTCCTGAAACCACGCTCCAAACTACACGTAGGAGCTTTCAACGTCCGAACACTGTGCCTAATAGGACAACAGACTTCCTTAGCTAAGACTTTAGAATCTCGCTCCATCGATGTGTGCTGCGTCTCCGAAACGCGCACACAGGATCCTAGTAGTGTCATTCATTTGACCGCACCATGTCAAAGTAACGAACCAACTCGATTCACGCTTCGTGTATCTGGAAGCCCTGATGCTGCTTCCCGTGGCCTCGCTGGCGTAGGTATAGCATTGAGTCCTAGGGCAGAACTAGCTCTCTTAGACTGGATCCCAGTAGACAGTCGTTTGTGTGCTGTCCGACTAAACGGAACAGTAAGGACTCAGAAAGATAGGGACACTCGTCGTTGCCTCTTCATTGTCTCTGCCTACTCTCCCACTGACTGCAGCTCAGATGATGTAAAAGATGAGTTTTACAGAAAGCTTTCGGACCTTCCCCGAAAAGCTAGGCGCTCTGATGTAATGATAGTGGCTGGTGATTTTAATGCTCAAGTAGGTAAACTAAGCGAAAGTGAAAGACACCTGGGTGAATCTTATGGTGTCGTAGCTCAAAGAACAGATAACGGCGACCGTCTGTTGCAGCTATGCTCAGATAACCGTCTGTTTCTTGCAAATACTAACTTTAGGCATAAGGAAAAACATCTTTTAACATGGCGACCCCCAAATTCGTCCCAACGTTGACTCAAATAGATCACATCGCTATCAGCCACCGATGGAGGGGCTCGATAGAAGACTGTCGCTCATTCTGGAGCACTTCCTTAGACTCAGATCATGCTCTAGTGAGAGAGCGTATTTGTCTACGCCTTACTGGACGTAGGAAAGATGGTGCAAGGAAACATCATACGGTCCTACTTAATGATAGAGTATGTTTCAGGAACAACTAGAAAAACAGTCAGGCAGACATGTAAGTGATGCCCACCCCGAGGCAGCGTGGAATGACATCCGAAAAGCTGTAGAAACAGCAGTGATGTCTGCAAGTACGGTAAATTATAAGGTTAGGGAGAAACACTGGATCTCAGCAGCATCTACCGCACTGATAGATGCTCGAAAACTCATTCCATCTGGCTCTGAACATAACGAAGAGCGGAGTCAGCTTAAGCGTAAGCTGACTAGAAGCTTACGCAATGATCATGAACAGTGGTGGGTAGCGAAAGCAAAAGAGATTGAAAAGGCAGCGGCAATAGGTAACAGCAGACAACTGTTCAAACTTGTTAAGGAAACCGGTATTAGGAACTCAACTGTTAGCGAAACAATCTCAGATAAAGATGGACATGTTATTCATTCTTAATCCAGGAGATTGGATTGATGGGCAGAACACTTTGGGGATCAGTTCAACTGGCCTTCAGCCACACTTCGGTTTCCCACGATCTCCAGCCGACCTAAATGGCAAGTTGATGTAGGTCCTTCGACAATGCAAGCATGTTCGAGATGCGATTCTCCCTCCCCCCTCAAAATACAAAATGTTGCTTCAGGATCGCGTTGCATCGACACAAACTAGTGATAGGTAGTGAAGTAGGTGAGCGTGTCGACCGCTTCACTTATCTTGGAAGCCTCATCAGCCCTTGTGGTCTGGTGTGTGACAAAATCTCAGCACGGATACAGAAGGCTCAACTGACTTTTGCCAACTTGCGTCATTTGTGGCGTAGGCAAGATATCCGTCTACCAACCAAAGGATGGGTTTACTGTGCAGCAGTTCGTTCCTCCCTATTTACGGCAGCGAAACATGGCTGGGAAGAGTAGAGGATATTCGCAGGTTACTAGTATTTGACCATAGGTGTCTTCGAAGCATTGCTCGTATATTCTGGGACCACCGAGTAAATAATGCAGTTGTTAGGAAACAGGTACTACGTAAGGATGGCAAATCAATTGATGAAGTAGTGAAACTTCATCAGCTGAAATGGTTGGGACATATGTTACGTATGCCAAACCGCCGAATGCCCCAACATGTGATATTTTATGGTGTAGGAGTACGTTGAAAGAAAGCTAGGGGCGGCCAGACCAAAACATGGCACAAATCCATGAAGTCACTGACAAGTGGACTGAGTCATGTTGATAGGTGTAGACTACCTGGTTGGGATCCGTGAGACGATAGCAACCAATGGTTAGAGATCTTGAATGACATGGCTCAAAATCGTTTGCAATGGCGCAGGTGCATCCACTCTCTGTGTTCTCCCAAACTCTAATCTTCTGAATTCTTCGTATCCCTTCTTTTCTCTTTCCAAACTTATTTCACTGGATTATACTCCTTGAGTAACATCTTCAAACCTTAATGTTCCCGGTTACTACTTATAATTTCACTACCTCTACCACTACGGGATTTGAATCGACAACTGCATTTCTGTGCTAATGTGGTATGGCAACTCGAACTGATGTAAGTACGCACGAAGTTCTATGTTGTTACTGATTGACTGGTTGGAAACAAAGTGTTAAATTGAAAACTACTTACATTATCCTGATTCGTAGTTTGTACAGTAGATTCTCGCATCCCCTTTGGTATTGAATTTCGCGTACGTTGAGGTTGAGAAATATTCTTAAAAATGAAACAATAAATGCAATATGAAATGTCAAATTTGTACAATGAATTGTTTGTTCATTCAACATTGCTGTGAGTATCAGTAAACGAACAGAATGCAGTAAAATGTAACGAAGATTACACATTGACATAGTGATCACCAAACAATCATTCATTACATTGACTACAAGTTGCTTGTTGAGTACATCAACAATGCACAAGAATTCAACTAACTTACAAGTCCCATATTGAACGGAACATCAATTTAATTATTCGGTGCTGTTCAGTGTTCTCCTGAATGAAATTACACTTGTGTTTGATTAGATAATCACAACCAATACAACACTTTCATTTCATCGTTTCCAAATAAACGCCTGTCAATCACTACTCGTACAAATTAAATTTTCGATTCGCAGTGTCCATTTTCATCATTTAACTTATAATTATTCTTTCATGAATCAAAAACACCTACCTTTTCATCACAACCGTTTTTCATCCACATATCTGCATAATAATCACGACCATTACTGCATTTTTCAATCATTGAACACCAGTAACACTGAGATTCAGGTCTATTTGTATTTATGCATGTATCTTTCGTATTTTGTATATCGCAAACGTCTACAAATAAAATGAGATAAGTGTGTTACAATTTTTGCGACAAGAATCAAATTTTGTACGTGATGGTGAATTTAAACCGAAAGTGTGATCTTCATTTATTTGTTGTGCTTAGTTTATTCTTTGTCTTTTAAGATTACTCAGACTTCACAATAACTTATATCAGTCAATTCGTTTGCAGTTATCATTTGTCTTCGACTTTAACTAAGTATATGATATAAGAATGATGTGTATTTAGTTCCATCAATTGTGGAGCCTTTACAAAAGTTTATTAGAACATCGAAGAGACATGCTGTTACTAATGTAGGCAAACATTATTTACAGTTGATGATGTTCGTAATCTGTGATATAAAGAATTATTGTTCTTTTTAAAAGTTTAATAAATCACATTCATTTGATTGTTTAAGAATACTAGATTTGTATGAGGTTAATGTCACACTGCGAATTCGTAACCACAGAACAATTCTATAATTAGTGTGAACATAATTTAAACAAACAACATTACGTTGAATGTCAAACATCATTAATGCATTTGACAACCGAATGTTTGATGCATTATTGTTGCTTCAGATTTAACTAGAGGAAACCTATCATACCATGGCAAAATTCCATTGATTTCACATTTCCCCGTTTTGATGGCAGTTATATGATTGAATTATCAAGACATTCTACTTGTCATACATACTATGCCTTAGTTTATAAAGCGAAATAGTCCTTGTTTATTTGCTCATAATGGTTAATTGAATTTCATTGAGAATTTGCCAGTTTAACACAACTTACAAATTTACTTTCAACTATGTTGTTTAAATTGCAAAATATTAGTGATATAACAGTGCATTTCAAGTGATATTGACTTTCGCTTGAAGTTGTTTCTGTATGATTCCCGATGAGTATATTCTAGGTTTTTTAAGTAGTCACTTCACAAATCAGTCCTTATGGAATATTTTGTCCATATAATGTTCAAGAGTATCTCAACAAATATGCTGTCAATAAATAAGCATGTCATTTACTCTGATCCTAAGTAATTATCATAACAATTTCGAAATTCGTGTAACTACCTTATGGATTGGATGATATTCTCAGTTTCTCAATGCATATGCTCATCATTAACTACATTTTACTTTGATACACTAGTTTCTTCAAGTATATTGATATCATGAAGATATCTATCGAATTTGATATATGACATTTCCTTCAGTGTAATTGGCTTCTATGACGAAAGTCATCATCCAGAAGATACAGGTGTTTATTAACAACTGTCTATGCAAAATACTTCGGATCCGTTGGTCAAACATTATCAACAACAACCTACTATGGGAGAGAACAAACCAGATCCCAGTGGAGGAAGAAATCAGGAAGATGCGCTAGAAGTGGATAGGACACACATTGAGGAAAACACCCAACTGCGTCACAAGACAAGCCCTCATATGGAATCCTCAAGGTCGAAGGAGGAGAGGAAGACCAAAGAATACATTACACCGGGAAATGGAGACAGACATGAGAAAAATGAACAAGAATTGAATAGAACTAGAAAGGAAAGCCCAGGACAGAGTGCGTTGGAGAATGATGGTCGGCGGCATGTGCTCCATCAGGAGTAACGGGCGTAAGTAAGTAATTGGCTTCTATCCATAAATGATGATGATGATGGTAAAGTACAGGTTTTTAGAGTCCAGTCTGTTATCCAGGGTACTATGAAATACATCGAATGCTTTTATGATCATAACACCTCATGGAAATCCAATACTACACAAAATCAGTGAAAATTGAACAGAACTGGTCATTTTCGTAACGTTATCAACTAGCTACTAGTTGATTAACTTATCCACCGTTTTGTAAGATTCTGATGGACCATTCAACAACTATACAGGACATTACAAAATGATTTTAAATATCGTAGAATGAGAAGAAATAATATTAAAAGCAGTTCATATTACACCGGCTACATCAAAACAGTGGATGCCATTTAATTATCTGACGTAACTACATAAATCAAATGAGTCTTACATGAAAAAGGTTAGTGTGATTGAGGATCGATTATATCATGATATCAAACTCACCTGACATAGGTTCGAACTCCACTAATGTGCCATCTTCGATTAAGGACTGATCAGTTAATATGATGCTGTATTCTTTTTTGACCGGAGTTGGGTGCGCTAGTAATTATAAAAAAAAGTTCCGTTAAATTTTTAATTTCTTTAACTGAGATATTAATGCAAACATGTTCAAATCATTGTAGATAAATTCACGTTTTATATCAGCAATCGTCTTTATTAATGTTTAAAGTATGCGGATTGAACAATACATTTTTGACAAGAATTTACATTTCTAAATTGTATGTCTAACACATTGTTTCGGATTCAACAATGAAACACTATTGGCTATCTAAACATGCTGTAGAAAAAGATGTTCCTAGACAGAGTTCGGGGTTTAAATAAGACACCATTGAATCGACATTATCTGACTACAGTATATTCTCCAATACTATCACTGAAATTCCGTTTCGTAAGACAGACATCTCTTAGCATAGATAAGTAGTTTGGCTGAGATTATATTGAGTTGTGAAATAGACAAATAAATATCTTGAATAGTGAATATTATGTCCGACTATCTATCTGGCACGGCCGTAACAATCAAATCAAATGTAAGAGAGATATGTAGGTGGCTGTCAGCCTACCGTAAGTGAATGGAATATTCATATTTCCAAAACGTTTCCCTATTTGTTCTGATCTGGACTAAATCAATAATGTATATGTATAAAGATGTGTGCTCATGACTTATGTATGTACTCATTCACCTATTTGCACTGTAGTTATCAACACAATCTCGATTATCCTACTCTGTTTGGTTGAGCATAAATTGGGAGATGTGTTTTGTGAAGGACTCAGACGAGAGAATGTGAAACTCTCTGATGACAGTGTATGACAACGGAATCTAAAGAAGAAAAGCAAATCGATACAGAATTCATATCATCACAACAACTCAAATCGTCTTTTTTTAAACAAAATGTTGACGACATTGGATCAATGACATACTATCGTCCAATTTGGTCCACTCAATTTTAGTCATTCCATTTTGTGCTGTCATCAGTTATGGTACTTGGATGTTAATTATGAATAAGCTCCATCATCTCACGATTGTTTGGAAATATGGCTTGTTGAATTTCAATAAAAACTCACTTATCCATAGATCAAACAAAAATAAATAAATAGAATCTGTTATTAGTTATCACAAATCTTATTTAACTAGTCTGAATGTTTCTTACTGGAAAAACTGCACCATAATCCATTGTTTATCATCGGTCGTAACAAAATTTCTTTAATGTTATAAGGTATCTGAAAAGGAATTGTAGAAATTTGTGTCAAAAATTGCAGACATATAATCTTATCTATCAACAAAAACATCAACTAAAGATTCATCAACATATCAATGAAATTACTTAATCTACAAAAGCTATCTAGTTAGAAAATGAAAAGACGATGTTTTGAACAGGAAACAATCTCATCCATTATGTTTAACTAATTATGCATTAAAACGTAGTTGACAATTTGATCATTGAATATCTTGAAAACTTATAACAAGAGAATAATCCATGATTTATAGACGGAAGAATACATCTGATATCCTGAATTAGTATTTTTTTATAATAACTATTAAATGTTCACTAATTCATAACATGTAGCATCACATCTTTGCTTCTAGTATAAGGCTATTTTCTTTTAGTTTCTATAGTTTATTGTTTAAATCTATCATTAGTTCACTTGAGTATATTGTATTAAAAATCATATGTCATTGAAAGTGTTTATTTACTATAGAATTAATGATGTACTCAAATCATGTGCAATGTATTTTTTTAATACAAAAAAACATTAAGATAACCTGATGCACTTGAATTATTATGATGGTTTATACAATTATTAAACTGACCTTCTCATAGTAAAAAGATATCTTCCCATTTCGATAAATATAACAAATCGCCTTAACTGTAATGTATTCATATAAATTACTAAAGTTAGAGAAGGGTTTTTATGAATATTATCATTATTTCAATGGTTGAGATCATGAGCGAATTGAAACTAGATCACCATGAAGAACCCTGGAAGCACTGAACGGCCATTTCGTCCTATTATGGGGCTCCTCAGCAGTGCGAATCCACGACCTCGCCGCGCGAGATTCAAAACGAGGACCTATCAGTCTCGCGCGCGAGCAGCTCAGTGGTCTAGTGGTTAAGCGCTCGTGTTATTAACTTTGTTAAAACAATGAACATAAATGCTGTGTACATAAATGGTTTTTTGATACAAACATGTTTCCTTATAAAAATACAGTGTTTTCATCAAATCCCACTTCCAAATTCATGGTTTGATTTATCTATAGTTAAGTGGTATATGCATTTTTTGTTTACAATAACCGCTGTTTTTGCTGAAGTTAACAAATGATCGTTTACTTCTATTAAAAGAGACAGTTACCTCATTTCTGTCAGTTGGTATACAGTATAGGGGTTGTGGAGATTATCACGTTTTTTGATTGAGATCATGGACCGATTGATGTTAGACCACCGTTGGAAACCTGGAAGCACTTAACGACCGTTTCACTCTATTGTGGGACTCCTCAGCAGTTCGCATCCACAATCCCTCTCGTGAGGTTCGAACCCAGGGCCTTCAGTCTCGCGCACTAACGCTTAACCTACTGGACCACTGAGCCGGCCGGCATCCAATGGCGTTAGTGTCTAACATCAACCAATCCACGAAATTGCGCAACCATCATCCATTGTACTGAGGTAGATACCTGTCTCTACCCGGCATGGATTAGCTCAGATACAGAACAGAATAGTTTAAACGAATAATTCGAATATAATTAAAATAATTGAATAAATATATTACAAAATCTATACATAATATGATTACCATAATATATCTCAGACACAAATTTGATAACGACGACTTCCTCTGAAGTAATGCAAATAAATTAAGTAGATAAATATATGCAGGAATGAATTTCACAAAGAGGTATTATTCCCACTATCACATTTAAAAACAAAGCTTCACTTAAATGAGCAATCGACCTCAACGAGGTAATTACACAGTGTCGAGCTGTTTGTGTATCTGGGTTACCTGTTCCTTTCGTTTGGATATTTCAACAAGTTACCTGTTTTCTTGTTTGTGTTTAACACATTATTATGCCTATTAGTCTCGTAACTTATTCTGGTGCGTTTGTGAAAAATTTACGACATCCTGTTGTACATATCACAAAAGAGCACAATCAGAGACACCATGATTGCTGGCAATATGCATTGGAAAGAATATACATTATTCAGATGTCAATTCCTGAACTGCTAACATCTAACTAGAGACTACTCAATCTTTATCGCAAGGATAGATCAAGAAATAAAGCCACTAATAATGATAAAAGTAAAATAATTTCCATCTCCTTAGTGTATTCAATGTACCAATTGAATCAAACGATGATAAAGTTGTTATTCTGGTATGCCGATTCTAGAATCTCAAGTCCGACACCCTGACACCCACTAGCATCTGAACAATAATAAAGCCTAATAGTTTTCTCGAAACATGCAGTATCAAGTTTTCGTTGAAGTACAGTTTGGATACTCTTACTTTAGCTTTGCATGACCTTCAGATTCTCAGACTACAGTTAGTTAACAGTTTTTCCATAAAAGTTCTGTTAATTATGTGAAATTCAATATTGTCGACTGAAATGAACGTATAAAGGACTTAGAATTGAGATAGCATTGGAAGTGTATTGGATTAGGTAAACCACGTAGGATCAATCAACCAGTCTTTATCAGTTATTAATTCCCCGATTTAGAAGAAATAAGGCATCACGTTTCATACACATACGAGTATGGTTATCGAAAGAAGTATCAAATATCCAATGGTTGATAGACAGTCCGATACATTACGTACTTACTTACGCCTGTTACTCCCGATGGAGCATAGGCCGCCGACCAGCATTCTCCAACACACTCTGTCCTGAGCTGTACACGATCTATCCTTACGGAATCCTGCCTGTTGGTCTCGAAGTTGTGTGTCTACGGAGTCCTTCATCCTGTTTAACAATACCCTGTTGAAGACTTTTCCTGGTATTGAGAGAAAAGTGATTCCCCTGTAGTTGTCACAGTTGCTGAGATCACCTTTCTTTGGTATTTTGACTAGAAGTCCTTCTTTCCAATCTTTTGGTACCCGTTCCTTATCCCAGATCTTTCTGAAGAGAGTTTGGAGTATCCTTGCAGTTGCCGCTACGTCTGCTTTCAGTGCCTCTGCTGGAATGCTGTCTAGTCCTGCTGCTTTGCCACTCTTGATTTGTCTGATAGCCATGCTGATTTCTTCAATTGTTGGTGGGCCAACATCGATTGGGAGGTCCGTGAGTGCTGCTTCGATGTTGGGTGGGTTCAGTGGGGCTGGTCGATTCAAGAGTTCTTTGAAGTGTTCTACCCACCTGTTTCGTTGTTCTTCAATGTTGGTGATTATCTTGCCTTCCTTGCTTTTCACTGGTCGTTCTGGTTTACGGTGATTTCCAGAGAGTTTCTTTGTTGTTTCATACAGTTTTCTCATGTTTCCTTCTCTGGTAGCCTTTTCCGCCGTCATCGCTAAATCTTCCACATATTTACGTTTGTCAGTTCTGATGCTCCTTTTCACTTGCTTGTTTACTTCTGTGTATTCAGCTTGTGCCATGGCTTTTTCTGCTCTTGTTCGACTGGTATTGATTGCTGCTTTCTTGTTCCTCCTTTCATGAATCTTATCCAGTGTATCGACCGTGATCCAATCCTTGTGATGGTACTTCTTTTGGCCCAGAACCTCATGATATGTTGAAGTGATTGCCTCTTTTATCTCTTTCCAGTTGCTCTCCATAGTAGTTTCTTCTCCATTGAGTAGATCATGAAAGGCTTGGAACTTATTGCTGAGGGTTATCTTGAATTTATTGAGTTTGTCATTATCCCGAAGAAGAGCCGTATTAAATTTTTGTGATATTGTCCTCCCAGTTGTCCAGTGCCTCTTGAGTTTCAATTTCATTTTGGCGACCAGCAAGTGATGATCTGATGCTATATCAGCTCCTCTCGTTGTTCTCACGTCCTCCATCGTCCTCCTGAACTTTTTGTTGATGCAGATATGGTCGATTTGGTTCTGTGTGGTGTGATCCATGTGGTTTTGTGTATGCGTTTATGTGGCAATATAGTCCCGCCTATGACCAGTTTATTGAAGGCACATAGATTTGCGAATCTCTCACCATTTTCGTTCCTTTCTCCCAGTCCGTGTCGTCCCATGATCTCTTCATATCCGGTGTTGTCAGTTCCAACCTTGGCATTTAGGTCTCCCATTAGAATAGTCAGGTCTTTTGTTGGGCACTTCTCGACGATTGACTGCAGCCTATCGTAGAATTGATCTTTAGCGTCTTCATTGTAGTCGTTGGTAGGCGCATAGCATTGGATGACGTTCATTGTAATCCCCGTTTTCTTGGTTTTGAAGGAGGCTTTGATGATCCTTGGTCCATGAGATTCCCATCCTATAAGTGCATTTTGTGCTAGTTTGGACAGCATCAATGCAACTCCTTATGTATGTGGGGCATTTTCTTGTTCATGTTCGGAGTATAACAGCAGCTCCCCTGAAGCTCGTCGTTGTTGTCCAACTTGCGTCCAATATGCTTCACTGATCCCAAGCACCTCTAGGTTGTATCTCCTCATTTCTGCAGCAATTTGAAAAACTCTCCCAGTCTCCCACATTGTACGACCATTCCATGTACCTAAATAAATGGTTTCTCTGGTTGTCAGAAGGGGCATCGGCCTCGTGACTTCCGAAGAAACTCGGCTTTTATCATGAGGCGTCATAATTCTTCTAAACGAAGACCTTCTGACTCCCAGGGCAGAGTTTAAATGGTTTGAATAATTTTTTCTGGTTAGCGTTTTTTTAGCGAGTTAGTTTTCTACGGGATGGGGTCACTAACCCCATGCCCAACCCTCCTCCTTTATCCGGGCTTGGGATCGGCAGTAGCCCCCCGAAAGGGACTCCAGGCGGAGTTCCAATACGTTACCGCAACTCAAAATATTCAGTGATGAATGAGCTAGGTAAATGACAAACAAAATTTGGATGTTATTTTCAGTTTTCATCATTTTGATAAAAACCGATTCACTACATGGACCTAATCTATAGTACCTCACCGATCTGTAATCACTTAAATTCCCCACATTAATCTAGAAGTTCATATCTTGTGTAATAATATGACTACAAAATATATAACTTTAAAATTGATAATAAAATGGTTCGATCTATTTATTGCTTTACATCACGTTGTTTCGGATCATTTCAAAGTTAATATCTACCGTATTTTACACTTTGCTTAACAGCAGCAATTAGTAATCAACTTAAATTGATCCTAAATTATACAAGAACGTTAAAGAAAACGATATAATTCATAATATTCTAACGGTTCTATTGTATTTACAAACTTAGATATTTTAATTCAACATGTAAAATATATTTAAAGAAAATGAAAATCTCATACACATAGTTCCCTTTATCAATTTGAAAAGAGCAAGAACAAACATTCTAGCAGAATAGTATGAATTCATTTTTATTACGTTGGTTCTCGTCAGCTGCTTACAACCTGTGATATTTAAGAATCATCATTACATAATGGGTTTAAATTACTTACATGAGAGATTTGATTGGAAGTTATATTGAAGGCATATTCGTATAGTATAGCGAGGGCGTAAATAAATTTAATAGACTGAATATTGTAAATATATACTAATTGTATTTATAAATTTACGTGTACCTGCCAAAGCAGCTACATTGGCCGAACAGAAAAGAGAGCATATCTCAGATTTTTTGAACATGTTCCAAAAATCCTCAGAACAAGAGAAAGAAAGACTTTAAATAGTGCAATCACCAAACATCTCCTTGATACAGGACATCAGGTTGATACCCTACAATCGTTCAAAGTGATTAGTAAGCAGCCAAACTCCAGTCTTCTGAAGTTTGGTGAAGCAGTTGCTATCAGACGCCAAAAACCTAATTTATGTGTTCAAAAGGAGATGGTTATTAATCTTTCCTTGCCTTGGTGACTAATATTCCTTCGCTATATCTCAATATATTTTTTTAAATTTTTTTTTACGTTTTCTTTGAACTCTTTCTTGCACTTATCACATCATTGAGTTTTATTCCAACTATCTTCCAAAAAAATTTTAATCTTATTTTTTCATCAACTGAACTCTACTCAATTTTTTTTCCTATCAATGTTTACTTGTTTCTAGCCCTTTGTCACAATGTTCTTTTGTATAAGGTATATATTTACAATATTCAGTCTATTAAATTTATTTACGCCTTCGCTATACTATACGAATATGCCTTCAATATAACTTCCAATCAAATCTCTCATGTAAGTAATTTAAACCCATTATGTAATGATGATTCTTAAATATCACAGGTTGTAAGCAGCTGACGAGAACCAGATGAAATAAAAATGAATTCATACTATTCTGCTAGAATGTTTGTTCTTGCTCTTTTCAAAATGAAAATCACTCACCATTATTTCCAATCTCCACTTGAAATCTTGTATCACCATGAATTAATAGCATTGTGATAAATCCAATCTTTCGATATTCATCATTTGAATGCTTTAAAGTCATAAAACCTTATTTAAATAAATGAAACAAGATAAATTAATTTTTATGGTTTAATGAATAAAAGATAAATTTTCTAAATACTTATAAACTGTAAGTCAAACTGTAACCCTTATTGTTATGAAATCTGATATTATAGATAACCTTTAATAGAATTAACAATGTTAATATATCTTAAAACATAGAATAAAATTGATTATATGAACACACTCTATCCCTTCCTATTTCTTCTGGTGGTCGATTGGATTATGAAGACCTCGACATCTGAGGGAAAACACCGTATACAATGGATAGTTCAGAACCAATTAGACGATTTGGACTTCACAGATGACTTAGACCTCCTATCGCATACACATGAACAAATGCAGATAAAGACAGCCAGCATAGCAACAGTCTCTGAATTAGTAGGCCTCAACATACACAAAGGAAAAATCAAGATCCTCAAATACAACACGGAGAACAGCAATCTAATCACTCTTGATGGCGAAACTCTGGAAGATGTGGAATCTTTCACATACCTGGTAAGCATCATCGATAAACAAGGAGGGTCAGATGCAGACGTAAAGGCGAAGATTAGCAAAGCAAGGGCGGCATTCCTTCAATTGAAGAACATATAGAACTGAAAACAACTCTCAACCAATATCAAAGTCAGAATCTTCAATACGAACGTCAAGGCAGTTCTACTGTACGGAGCTGAAACTTGGAGAACTACAACAACCACCATCAAGAATGTACAAGTATTTATTAATAGCTGTCCACGCAAGATACTCAACATCCATTGGCCGGATACCATCAGCAACAGCCTTTTGTGGGAGAGAACCAACCAGAAGAGGAAATTAGGAAAAGACTATGGAAATGGATAGGACATACATTGAGGAAATCATCAAACTGCATTACGAGACAAGCGCTAACTTGGAATCTTGAAGGGAAGTAAAAAGGAGGAAGGCCGAAGAATACATTACGTCGAGAAATAGAAGCGGATATGAAAAGGATGAATAAAAACTGGAAAGGGCTGAAAAACATTGCCCAGGACAGGGTTGGATAGAGAATACTGGTGAGTGGCCTATGCTTCTTCACGAGGAGTAACAGGTGTAAGCAAGCAAGCACATGTAAATAGTCAACTTGATTAAGTGATCATCAATTTACTTACCATCATTTCCTATAGAGATATCCTCATAGAACATACCATAAAATTTGATCATAAAAGATGGTTTGAAAATCTAAAATCATATTCAAATTGATATCATACTCTTGTAACATTGTTTATATCATTTACCTCAACATAATCATTGATTTGACGAAAGGTTACATCAACAATTGGAATTGGTTGATTATAATGTATTACTTGTGAATAATAGTAATGATCAAACTATTGATATGTATAAATATACTACTATTTTCCTTACCTCTGAATATGTTTCACTGCAAATAATTATTTTTTGATCATTATTATTAGATTGAAAATTTAGTTTATCACAAGAGACAAGATCTCCATGTATATTCAATAGTGAAATATTAACCAAATAGATAATCAACAGTAAACTTAAAAGCATCTTCTATTTATAATAAACGTTATGAAGTTTATAGAATAAGTGAACTATATAGTTACTTGGATGAAATATATATGTTGACAATGAAAATACAAAATAAAATAACTTGGATATTTGATTGAATAACAATAACGATGACGACGACAACAACAACACCAAAAAAAAATTGATCACTTAATTCTAATTAGATAATTAGAAAGGACCAATAGTAGAAGAAGAAAAAAAAACTATTCAAAGTAACCTTCTCTAATTAGCAAATCAATGAAACAAAAATTTTTTTACAAAGAAACAAAAATTATCCAATAAGATTCGTGAAAAATTAAAAAAAAAAGAAAAACAAATCTGAGTGAAACTAAGACGTTAACAAAAAGAATTTTACAGAGAGAAAATATTTTAAAATATAAAAAAGGTTGAAAGAACAACTGAAAACAAAAACAATAACAACAACAACATTTCAATAGTTGAGATCATAAGTCAATTGAAGCTAGACCATCATGGAAAATCTGGAAGGACTGAATGGCCGTTTCATCTTATTGTCGGGCACCTCAGCAGTGAGTGTATCCAAGACCACACCACACAGGATTCGAACACACACGACCTATGAGTCTTACGCGTGAGCGATTAGTCACTAGACCACTGAACTGACCGGCATCTAACGGTGTTAATTTCTAACTTCAAATAATCCACGAAATTGAATGATATATCCACCATTCTCATCAGTGATTTACTATCTCACAACAGACCTGATTGAACTCTATTGGTCACTGCTTCTCGCTAGAATTTCAAGCAATACCTCTTGAAGTCAGATAACAACATTTGCCAAATATATAAAACAAAACACAAAAAAGTATATAACAACAACAAAAAAATCACAATGATTGAATAACTCTGGACTAAATTGATCTGAAATACATGTAAAAATTTCAAAACAGATTACATTAGTTCTCTATCGATAAAATTCATCATCATCATCATCATCATCATCATCATCATCATCATCATCATCATCATCATCATCATCATCATCATCATCATCATCATCATCATCATCATCATCATCATCATCATCATCATCATCATCATCATCATCATCATCATCATCATCATCATCATCATCATCATCATCATCATCATCATCATCATCATCATCATCATCATCATCATCATCATCATCATCATCATCATCATCATCATCATCATCATCATCATCATCATCATCATCATCATCATCATCATCATCATCATCATCATCATCATCATCATCATCATCATCATCATCATCATCATCATCATCATCATCATCATCATCATCATCATCATCATCATCATCATCATCATCATACTCTAAATGTAACTCATTTGACAATATCACTAACAAATACCAGCCATTTCATATAAATTGTTGATAGAAATTCTAACAATTATACCATCTTTGCATATTAGAACACATTCACCTTATTAGGTACGTCATAAAGTATTGACTTTTATTATATGATTATGATATTTTTATGAACTAATGATCTATTTATACTTGATTACCCATTGATTGACAATAACAAATACAATACATTTATTTGTACTTGTCTAGTTCTATCTCATATTTATTGTACTACTTCAGAAATTCTTAGTTAATACAATAATTCCGATAGTTTTGTTTATTGTATAGATTCAATGTTCTATTGTAGATTTTCTAAGAGAATTTCAGTTTTAATATTTTAATGATATTTACTTTTTTTGTTCTATGTTATTACCTTTATCAAATATGATGTTTTCTGTATCAAATTATCTCACTATTATTTCATTTTAAATGAATATTTTTCTGTAATTTAATTAGTTACTTCGCAAAATACTTCAGATCCGCTGGCCGGACACTATTAGCAACAACCTACTATGGGAGAGAACAAACCAGATCCCAGTGGAGGAAGAAATCAGGAAGAAGCGCTGGAAGTGGATAGGACACACATTGAGGAAAGCACCAAACTGCGTCACAAGACAAGCCCTAACATGGAATCCTCAAGACCAAAGGAAAAGAGGAAGACCAAAGAACACATTACACCGTTAAATGGAGACAGACATGAGAAAAATGAACAAGAATTGAATAGAACTAGAAAGGAAGGCTCAGGACAGAGTGTGTTGGAGAATGCTGGTCGGCGGCCTATGCTCCATTGGGAGTAACAGGCGTAAGTAAGTAAGTAAGTAAGTAATTAGTTACTTCATTATGAGTTATTCGCCTCATTCATTTAATTTTTATTGTTTTCTTATTAATATTTGATATTGCTGAATATCCTAATTAATGTGCTGTATAATTATGGATTATTTGTATATCAATATTCATTGTTCAATTTATTAATCGTTATGCTTTGAGATCCTCAATTACATATTTAATAACTTAATTATCTTTTGTAATGTGTTAATTGATATTTGTTGAAAGCAATTAGTTCCTTTTTATAAATTTCGATAGAACAATAAGAAGACGTAGTTTAGATTCAGATTTGTATAGTAAGGACAGAAGGCCTACGGCCTATGTTATTTGTTTTCTAGTATGCTTCTGTGAGTGTTCAGACTTCTCTTGAAAGAGTCAATTGAAGGTGTGAACACCACTGCTTCGGGTAGCAGGTTCCAAGTATTGATGACTCGGTGTGAGAATCTGTATGCCACGGGTATTTTGTTTGTTCTTGGCTTTTCTACTCGCCTGCAACGTCCTCTGAGATGTCCTGATCTAGTAGGAAGATAAAGAGAGAGTAAGTTAGGTCTAAAATCATTTCTCAGTATTCTGTACATCAAAATTAAATCTCCCCTTAATTTGCGATAGGACAGTGTGAAGAGATCTAGCTTTTTAAGCCGCTATTTGTATGGTAAACCCCGGAGTTCTGGAGTTGATCTGAAAAATGTGATGTATTTGCGCTATACATTTCGAACAATCTGGTCACACATATACTTGTCAGGGCATTTTTATATAAAAATTAATAAAGGTCAATTACATGAAAGTTAAAGTACAAACCAACAAACAAAAATAACAAAGGGAAGAGAAAGAATAAGAAATTGTCGCGTTATCCTAGACCATAGAATGATTCAAGGATTACCAAGGTAAATTCAAGGTTACGACAAATTGTTTTTGTACACATAAGGGGGGCTTAAATTTACGTATAGCCAAGGCTTCAATAAACTTAAGATATTCATTTATTTATCTCTTGTTCTTACTATAAGCAACCATATTTTATTATATGTGATAGAAACATTTGATTTTATTTTCAAGTGTCAATTTAATGTGACACATTTTATTGATATGCCTTCATTTCATTGGATGACATGATTCGTTGTTTGTGTTGTCTTGTTGTTGTTGTTGTTTTCATTTGGGAATGTGTCCTGCAACAATCTCACTCACTACTATGAAAATTGATCAAGCTTACTGAACTCCTTCTGACGTCATTTCTTTTAATTAAAACATTATGAGATCTACATTTTGGTGAGTTGAACAATTGCGTTTAGAGTAACTGGTCAATGTGCTGTTCAATAATCTTACAGAAAACATGATCAAACTGCACATCATTTTGTCTCGTTGGTAGTTATATCCAATTCACATAATTTAAAACACGTTTTCAAATACAGCTTATGTACAATCTCTTACTATGGCATATAGAGCCCTAGACATAATAAAGACAACACATAAGCTATCGTTATTTACAATTAGTGAAATATTAATTTAGATTGACTTACTATCATTTACTGTTAACAATCGATTCCCATGGATGTACAGGCTTTGTCTTTCTTTAATTTATATACGGTATACATACATAACACTTTACGGAAGATACTTGATTTCATCTCGAAATATTGTATGATCAAGATATAAGGATGTACACGCATTTAACAATTTTACCGACCCCCAATAAATCTAAATAACACATGACGTAGGATGTAAATGTCTACGTCTGAAATGGCTTTTGTATTTAGTGAAGAAACTACAGCACTGTCTACATACTATTATACAAATGACTGTGGTGATCGTATATTTAAAGTTACGATGAAATCTAAATGAAAAATAGAGACGTTGATTTTGTCAACCTTTCGAAATGATTGTTGAGAGGTGTATGTTTTTACATAATAATCAATTTTATTGCTATTACATCCTTTACATGGTTACGGCAGTATACGGTATAAAACTATCGACACTTGAACGTTTAGAACCCTACATTCGCAAATCAGATAACAGAAGAAAAAAAGGGGAAGAGATTATTGGGTAAGAATCAAAGATGTACAGAAAGACAGAGGTATTTATAATTTTTAGTATTTACCATAACATAATTACAACCCGAAAAATCTGTGAATAGGAAAGTTATACAATTGTCGAATCATGGTATTCCACGTTGATGTTGTAGAAGGTTCTGTCAGGTTGTGTTTGTATGGAGTCTCTTTGGTTTGTGTGTAGCCTCAGAAGACTTCGTCTTGTTTTTTTGAAACCATCTGATAAAGCTGCAATATATATAAGCCAACTGTTTGATTAGTACAGTTGATTTCACTTACATAAAAACACAATGAGGTCTTCATTTTACTGTTTCATTTGTTACAGTTACTGACTGTTTTTTATTCACATAACGGAATAAAGAAAAAATCCCGTTTAGGTGATTGGATTTCAATCCAATACTAATTCAGTCCAGCTTTGCTTGACCATCAGTTGATGAACAGTTAAAGTAAACTGCACAACCATAAGAGGTAAGTGTATAGTGCTAAGATTAGAGTAATCACAACGAATTATTGCCAACTGATAGACGATTTGGAAAACTGCTGTAGTTAATTAATAATTTATTTATTCAATAATAATAGTACAAAGACTACAGAAATTTTCAATAATCCATGAACCTGTTAAAGTATTCTATCTACTTATTTAAAAAAATTATTCGGTATGAAATGAGAAACAAACCAATCAATGTAAGATCCATTTTAAAGATTTTATGTAGGAAAATCCCTTTCATGTATACATATGTAATTGATTCTTATTGATT